AAATTATTCATAAAGTATACAGAAAAGGCCACAACAATGTTTGTAAGACACTCAATTGCATTTTTTGACTCCAGTTTTTCATTTAAATTAACAGCACTTCTGGGGATGGCTTGTCTGAAAGCATAAAGTTGAGTTTCAATCTTTTTACAATCCTAAAAAAGTAAAACACAGCCATCCTAAGCTACTTCTTCCCCCAAACCCATAATTTTTGTTGCTGGGAAAAAGGTACCAATCAAAAGATAGGGAACTGGGATGGTGATGAGGTTGGAAAAGGAGACTAAGGTTAGCTTGGGAAAAGCAAACTGTATTGTTGCTTTTATACTGTCTAAGCAGCAGAACTTGATAGAAAGCTGCTTTGATACCTTTCAACTGCTTGCCTTTGCTTGACAGCCCTGCTTCCAGGATCTACACATGGCAAAATCCCCTTTGGCTCTGGGCTGATTCAGTGCAACCTCATTGAAGTCTAGCAATAAAGCAAATAAAGGGCACAACTGAGAAAAAATATCTGTCTGTGTTGTTCTTCTTCAGAAATTATTTGCAGCAAAATAGTTACACTTTAACTGAGAGACAAATTTATTTGTATTTTAAGGTTACATTTGTTCATTAATTCACATATTCATAGGATTTACATTAGCTAGTCTAACACCCCTAACTGCAACTATTAACTTCTCTTGACCTTAAAGACAATCATATGAAACTTGTGCTCTTCACAGTTTGCAAGAATCCTCTGTGACAGTAATGAAAGAGATACTAAAATAGGTTTCTTAATTTAAGCACTCTGCTATAAAACACATTGTCTCATGACATTTCTAAGAAATTCTAGTCGCTGACAACATCTTAGAGAGTGATGCCTTAAAAATTAGTAACCTAAGTCAGTAAAGCTTGCAAGTGCCATTTTTTTCCTCTTTTTTTTTTTTTTTTTTTTTTTTAAGAAAATATACCGTGTTTACATTGTGTATTTTCCAGTTGGGGAACTTATAAACTATTTAAATTTTGTTTTCTTCTGGGCTCTCGTTTTGTGGAGATGCATTTGGCACGGCAAGGTGTATACACATGCAAAGATAATTAATTGTGGTTATATTTTTAGTACAAATACCTACTTACATAAATGACTTGCATCTCTGAAGGAAAAGTATATTATAACGAATAGTGACAATTACAATGAATGATTTTACAGCATAAAAGTTTAAATCAGCTAAGTATATGTCATATTTTGTTACTGTGTTAGTTTATGTATTGCTGGGAGATTGAGAAGTGCCAAATTTCTGTGCCAAATTAACCTGGTGGKTTTTTTTGAAAATGTGAGCTAGGGAGAAAAAGGAGTAATGCGAGAAACTATTAATTGCTATTCTTGTGAAATAATCCCATTTTTAAGTAGAAAACTGGAGTGCAAGACTATTATATAGCCCTAAGCAAAAATCACTCTTTGGGTGCAAGGGTTCTCCATCTCTTCAATTTTAATTGAAAGCTTTTAAAAAAGTATAATTATATATTATAATTTCTKGATGATGAAGAGCTCTGAAAGACAGATTGAGTGTCCGTGAACCGTGACTGGTAAGTTCTGTTGGAAGAACCATATTGGTTTTTCCAAGGAAGTCATGAGTTGGGAAAAGGCTGCTCCTGCTGTGTAGGAAGAGTTTGTTCACAAAAGCAGCTGTAGTTCTGATCTATGTAGGTATGTCTGCTTAGACCTGTTCGGATAAATTAGGCCATCCATCTTCATGACAATATGCTGAAGTCAAACTTGACCGAGTTTTGCCGAACAGACTATTGCTCYGTTCCCTGCCTGCTTCTGATTGTGCTCATTGGGAATATTGCTTTCACTCTGTTTTGAAATGCAGATAATGAAATAGCAAGCCCMTCATCTGCTCCTTCACTCCAGAAAAGACTGGAGAAGTTCAAAATAAGACTTGGAAAACATTTAGTGAACATCTTTCTTCAAAGATTAAGTTTAGAAAAAAATGGAAAATATCAAAAAACTCCTGCCCCCACTGCCTCTGCCATTGAAATGCTTTACTAAGTTCTTTTTTTTTTAAGACTTCAGACATAAAAATAGCAACACCTAAATCTGAAAATACTGTAAACATTTCTTCCCCCCAAAAAATGTTGCTTTAGAATATTTCTAAAGGAGAATTAACTTTGCTAATATACTAAGAAGAGGAGACATCAGCTATGTAGGTAGCGTGGAAAATGAAGAGAATTCTACATTGCATTGCATAGAGTATCTCCTGGAGTGTATTCTGTGAGACAATTACTAATACTAATAACACTGCTTAATTGCCATGCTGCTAATAACAAAAGAACACAGACTATTCATAGTAGAGAAGAAACTATKTCATACAGAGCAGTAGAAATAGCAGCAATAATGGAGGTAATAGTAGAGAAATGCAAAATTCTGTTAAAGTCAGAATTATTCATTGTAAAAACAGCTGATAGATGTTTCAATTGTGTCAGCTACATTTATCAAATATTTTTATTCATTTACCAAGTTGTAGAGCTTAAATCCATCATAAACTAAGACTGAAGTAATTTAAGGTGATTATTGAAAGATGTTTAAAGTCCAGCAGGGTAGAGAGGTAGACTTAAAAAGACCTGAGGGAAAACAATAGGAAGCAGGGGGTTATTAATTCGAAAGGCTGAAGAGTTGAAAGAGAAATTACACACTATGTGCTGTCTGAAAGGAATAAAATTGGATCCTTCTAAATAGAAGTAGAACAAAAGGCTCTGTCATCAAAAGATAAGTTGGTGCAGGGTCTTCAGCGACTGAGTGTCGCAGTGGCTGTCTTGCTGTGAGCTGATGCTGTGAGTTCACTGATGAATGTTAAACTGAACTACCATGACTACATGGAACTGCAACTCTTCTTCACAGTTTCGTTACTAATCTGTGCTCTAAGAAGACACTAAACCAATGCAAGCTAACTAACAAGATGAAAGAATGAGTGACTTTGAGTTAAAGGTGAAATTTGTTCTTGCAGTTGTTAGTTGCAAGAATTAAAATTTTCATGGGGACAAGACTCATGAATTAAATCATAACATTAAAAAAAAAAAAAAAAATCTCATAGATAAAGCACTCCAAAGCCAGATAGATGTGCTGGAGCCACTCAGCACCTATGAAAATGGAGTTACAAATGTGAATTGTCCAATATGTATGTAGTATATATATTTTCCTGTTATCCCTTGGGAAGGGATTTAGTTCAATCTCTGTGTGTCAGTACCATGATGACAACAAGAAAAACTGTCGTGCTGCAGATCTCTCCTTGGATATAAATAGTGTGATGAGTGAAGAAGGTGTCTAAAAGGTAGTAGGCATCTAGTGCATGACTGATTTCAACTGAAGGAGACTGGGCTCAGTGACTTGGGCAGTTCCTCACATTCATCTATGCCAACCTCTATATTTAGGCTGATATGAAAGCTAGGCTACTTTAAGTGCAGGTTTTAAGATGATAAGCGAGTGTACGTATCAGTTGTTGCTCTTCCTACACAACTAACATTTTAGTAGCCAACTTTCATTTCTTGCTAATAAGATGAATTGCTAGGATTGATTTCCAAGATCCTGGAAATGTGTTGTGCAATTTAGAATGCTATTTATGGTATAAGATCCATTGGTGTGTGACCAGAAAATAAATTGATTAGGATGCAGAGGCTGAAGTTTACCTACTGCTGTCAATATGTGTTAACCAACTAGGCAGATGATATGTATGGATGCTGTAAATATAAACACAACCTCAGTTAAACTCTGACTTGTTCTTAGTGTTTGCAGCTTATGGCTGAGATTGTGGGTATATTTATTTTACCCAATTCTTTGTTTCTTCATAAAGCCCCAAATCAGAAACTTTTATTCTAAGGCGTGCAAAATATTTTGAGGTTTTGAGCAGGTAAGAGGGATGAGCAGGGAGAGATTTATTTCTTCATGACTTTACTGTGAAACAACTAGATTAATAAAACACCATTTCTCTGGACCTTTATGATAATGCTTGTGGTGAGCCAGTCAAGTGATACCAAATAAATAGAAAAGCTTTTTTTTTTTTTTTTTTTTTTTTTTTTTTCTTTTTGAGTGAGATACATGATTGCATTGAGGCATGATAAAGCCAGCTTAATAAAAAATGAGTTTGTTATGGAATGCAATGACTCAGTTTGGGCTGTAGTCTTTCTCTTACTTTCACCTGTCTTGTCAGTAGATTTGGCATCAAATAAGATGTCCAAGATGACTCCAGTTCTCACTATCTATGAAGAAATGCTTGTAATACATGTCTTATTTCACTCTTCTAATACCAAAATAGAAAAAGCAAAACATTTAATCCATTCTCTGGCAGTCTCTGTATTTATCATACGGATTTTGGCAGCATTTTTACTTGATAGTACATGATACATTCTTATTCACTGTAGCTATTAATAAAGCTACAGTAATTATTTTATTAATCCCACTAAATATTTTCCGTACAATCTGCAAATTTTCTTTTGTAAGCATAGTTTTCTCCTGACCTTTTGCATGAAATGATTGCTTAATAAGAAAGCTGTTTTACTCTGTTTTTTTGAATAAACAGATTGCTCAAGTTGCACCAGGGGATGTTCAGGTTAGACATTAGGAAGAATTTCTACACGGAAAGAAAGAGTAGTGAAGCGTTGGAACAGGCTGCCCAGAGGAGTGGTGGAGTCGCCATCTCTGGCAGTGTTTAAGAAAYGTGCAGACGAGGTGCTTAGGGACATGGATGAGCAGGCATAGTGTTAAGGGGCTTAAGGATCTTGAAGGTCTTTTCCAACCATATTGATTCTATGATTCTATAATCCTGTTGTTGAAGGCTCCTCCATTTCTTCAGTTCAGTCCTAGGCAGCCCCATATCTTTAATTCTTCTTGAGTAACTGAACTGAAGAGTCCAAAGTAAGACCTAGCCGAATGCCAAAAGCAAACTGAAAGTTCGAGGAATTATTGCGGATGAATCGAGGTTGTGTTGATTTTTAGAAAACAAATTTACAGTACAACTTCAGGTCTTGCAGCGGAGATGATTGCAGCAGTTGCAGCAACAGGGCTGCTTTCTGCTCTTGCACCTGTGTGTGCTTTAATGACTCAGGTAAGAAGAGGGACTTAATGTGGGATGGTATATGTTTGTACAGTGTATCACAGGATGTCTGTTAAACTTAATTTGAAATGCTGTAATACTTTTGTTTTTCTGTCCTTTTCTCTCAGGAGGCACAGGAATCAAGATATTTTGTATTTCCATGCAGCTGAAGAGCATATGGGAGAATATTATATCAGCTGGGAAAAATAATCATTTTCTTCTCCCCACTGGTTGTGGCTGTAGAAGTTGAGCTTGTAAAGGGTTAGCTCCTACAGATTCTCCTAAAATGGGCTATAATCAGAGGAAGTGATTACAGGATTCCTTTTATTTTCCTACATTAATAATGGCAATCTTTTCTCTRGGCAAGAAATTTGCAGCTAATCTCTGATTCCCATAAGTGTTGCTTTTTTGGGCCTGAACTGAAGCATGCTGAAGCACTGGGACATGGCTTCCCTGGTCATGTCTGGGTAAACCCGGGGTGAATCCGTAACAGTTCCAGTGCAGAACTTTTTTTGAGGTCCAGCCCATGAGCAGAGCAGGGAATTTGGAGTTGCCCTCTGTATGTGCAAAGTCTGAATGTGGTGTGAAACCATCTGCTTTTACTCTCTTTCATTTTGCTGGGCTTGTAACAGAACGATTTGTGTTGCCCCATGCTAGCACATTCTCCCACAGCACGTCCTGGCTAGGAATGCACCACACCAGCTGCACTGGAGATCTTGCTACATGCTACTTTCCTTTGAAAAAAAACTATCTGCTTCTAACAAATATTGCCACAAATCTGATCATATCCAACGTTGCTAGTTACCAGGTGTTAACAATGGTAGTATTTTCTTCCAAGCTTTCTTGGTTTTGCTGTAGAAGTGTTWGTTTTCTCATCTTATTCTTTCTTTGAATTACTTCTTTATTCAGTGCCAAGCTGATGGCATTGTAATAGCATATTGGTACACCCTTAAGAAGAGACTTTTAGGAAATACTGCAAAATAAGTAGTAAAAGAATGTAAGAAAGGAAATCATTTATATCTTTCTGCCTGCATACATCTTCCTCTTAAACTCTTGTGACTTACAGCATTATGCATAAGGCAGCTGATCAAATGCCAAGAGAAGGCACTAATACTAGATATGCACTCTTGATCATTGTAGGGTCCTGCAATAGTCTTACTGCTTCGTGTTGCAGTACACCTCTTATATAAATATTCTTTATAAAATCTACACTAGACCTATCAGGATATCCTAAAAGGAGAGTTAGAACATGCATATTGCATACCTTGAAGCATGTATGGGTAATGACCAAATATTTATTTAGGAGTGGCACCTATGGATTGCAATTAGCTCTCATGCAGCATAATTAATTTTGCAAGATATTCTAGATATATGCTGAAACTAAAGACACGTACAGCAATAAGAAACTTTCCTATGTTACTTTGAGAACCAATTGCTGTCAGAAATAAAACATCTATGTAAATCAGAAATATGCAGTGGCACTTTGTGACRGATACGCTCCTTTCCCAGCTCAGCCTGGCCTGTACCTTACATGCAGCCCAGTTCAGTTGCTAACCACCAGCGATTTATCTAATCCTGGTAGGCGCCACCATCCTGATTTCTTCTGCCACTTAGACTCAACATAACATTCCTGARGGCTGCATCCCAAAGGGGCGGTAAGGCTARTGCACTAGCCAATGGGCCTCTGAAATGAAAGAATGACTATAAGTCAATCATCTTATCCTATAAATATGCRGACAGCCCGAGAGCCCTTTGAGCTCTCCTGACATGGCTGCGACCTGCACAGCAGGATCTCCCCTTGAGCAGGGACGCCTCTCAACGTTACTCCTCGAGGTTGAGAGACCCCCCCCTTCCCATGACAGATTTGTGGTAAGCGAACAGAGTGCGCTCTCTTTCTTTAACTTTACTTTGTAACTGTGCACAAGAACCCTTAGTCATAAACCGTTGACCAGGTCTGGGACTAGGATTGGATCCAGCCGCACCCAGACTCCTCTCAGAAGGAGACTGAAAAGCMAGGGRSTCCAATMTGAACCTYRTGACCCAAYGGGAGGGTATCCCAAGATAATTGTGTATTATCTTGAGCCTCCATGCAGTGAATAATAAGTGACCTTGCCATAGAATCTCGTGAAATCATTGTCCATATTAATAAATCCTGTTATTATTTCTTTCATACGAGTGAAGTGCATTTGTCACTCACCCCTGCCACCACTCGTTCCTTGACACACTTATATTCAGCTCATTTTTATTTTTTTTAACTTTGTGGAAGTCTTTTAGACTTAGTGCTGTGCTTGGTTTTTTTAAATTGCATGCTAAGCACACTGTTCCACCTTTCTTGTCAGTCAAAACAACTGCATCTTAAGTACAGCGATATCTCTGCTAAGACAAGTCTGTGTGATAACACAGAAAAAAGGATAAATGCAGTGGAACTCTAGCTGATAGAAATCTAATGGATAATTTTGATTCCAAATCTCAATATATGCTTGTAAGCCTCTAGACCGAACATATAAACATTGCCTTTTTTTTTTTTTTTTCGGTGCTTCATTAGGTTGGAGTAGATATTTATGATTGCTGTTCTGTTCAGAACCTTTGTTTTAAGATTTCTTATTAAAAAGCTTTGATTATGTAACATTCATATTAATAAATTCCCATCTTCAAAACTTACAGTACTTAGGATCTCAGTATAATATCATGATCTTTCAATGTGTGTTATTTTTGATTATCTGTAAGGGTTTGAATTTTGAATTATAGAGACTAAAAGACAAAAACTATCTCAGTAAGCATAACTTGTCTGGTTCTCTGATTAGTTTTTTTTGTATGTGTGTTAAAGAAAGAGCCTTGATTGTTTTTCTCTACGAAACAAATCAATGAATAGCTACATATACAAAATATAAAAAATATGGCATTTTGACCTCATAAATTCATATACAGAAGAATCAAAAAGTAAGTAATATTGAGGTGGTATTTCTTTTACTTCAATATGTAATCATATGATTATAAATTAATGAAGGGAATAACTTTTATTCCATAGCTATTATTTGTGGAATATTGAATCTATCTATTTCATGGTTATATATCATTTTAATGCTTATTTGTCACTAATTAAAGGAAAAATTTGTAAAAAGTGGAAAAAATTGATATTTCCACCCAGAAACAGRTTTTAAATGATTGAGGAGAAACAGATCTGTTCAGTATTAGAATATAATGAAACAGTATCTTTCTCTGTAAGTACGCTAAGTTCTTCTGATTATTATTTTTTAACTTTTCTAATCTATGAAGTGTAAGTTATTCTCATCCTCAAAAAAAAAAAAAACTTTAAATTATTCTTGCCTGAACTGAGAATAGCCAAAAAAAAGGCTACTACAGCTGTCTTTTTTAAATTAATTGTAACATCAATATAAGCATAAAGAATAAATTCTGCTGCTGATTTAGAGGCTGCTATGATGTCTGAGCATATTATTTAGACAAATCCTCCTTTGGACAGGCAATCCACCACAGAATAAAATAATGCTGAGTTTTTAAGCTGGGTGTGCCTAAGGATTAATAAGCATAGGCCACTACTCATAAGAATTCATGCAAATCTCTCCACATATTTGTCCGTATTTTCTGTGTATAAAAATACTATCTGAACAGTATAACTAAAGATTCCAAAGTTGAAATTGTTTATACACACAGCAGTTTCATTAACGTAGGAATAGTTAGAATATTACCACAACATACTTTCACAGAACTCTCTAATAATAAAATAAATCTTTCTGTGGATAACATATATAGTTGGTGACCGTAACACCATAAATCATATTATATTCTAAACGTTTATAGACCTAGAATGGTGTGTTATTGCAGCAGAAAAACTGGGGCATGCGTGCGCGCACACTGGGTAAAATGTCCCTAGTCATCTCCCTCTATCCATCCTAATTCTCTCTGACTGCAATCAAGTCCACAAGGTCTGATGTAATCTGCAATGAAACAGTTTGCAGCAGATGTTTCTGTAATTCTGTTCCTATCTGCAAATGCCAACATGTTCACAGTCTGAGGGGGAGGGGAAGGAAAACAAGATAAAACCACAAAAAAAAAAAAAAAATAAAAAATAAAAATGCTTTTAAAACCTCAGGATTTGAACTGTGACACAGAAATTATCTAAGGCATAGCTGTCTTCTCTAACCTTGCAGAAGGTTATAGGGCAAGATTGCTAAAGTAGAAATGTAACCTTCCTTCCTAATTAGGAGGATGAGATGAAGATCAAGAGAAAGTGCAAGGATACTGTATGTGATGAGTCCATCCCTGTTTGATACTGTTCATAACACACATTCAGACACTTTTGGTGTTTATTAACAACAGTTAATATTAAAGGCAACAGTGATCGTTTTTGGGCCATGGTGGTGAACTTCTGGTCCTYACTTTGCAGTTCAAACAGTTCTGCTGTTACCGCAGCCTCTTTGTGATAGTCATTTTGCTAAAGTTTGAAGAAAATGTGTTGAAATGGAGAGGGACAGAAGCAGAATCTCCTGGTCCTGAGTGGGGCTGCGGGGTGGCTTTTATCTCCACTAATTTTGTTTGGGGGGGCGGGTCACATGGATGGGGCAAATACCACCAGAGAAGTGGGTTAACTCGTGGGGAGAAGCATCTGCTGGGGCTCCCTGCAACCCCACTGTGCTAGCACGCGGATTGGGGGCCACGCTGCCTGAGAGCAGGTTTGTCCCCCAGTTGGCGGATTTGCCACCCAAAATGTACCTGATTGGTGGAGCAGTCATGCTAGATGGTTTTAAAGAACGGTATTTCAAAGAGGAGAGGAGAGG